CGTGGAAAAAACTCAATAACTTTAAAAGTTGGGGAGGTTTAAAAATAGGTTAGCCGTATTTGACATCGGGGGGCAAAACTACATCAAGTGCCATTAAAATATATTAAATTTCCCACTGACCTATAGGCAATTTGACTACTTTTTGGAAAATTGCATGAAAATGCTGAACTTTGGGGCCTTTCGAGGCACGCCTTTCCGTTGTCTGATTTTGGAAATTTTCGCACGGCACGTTTTTATGCCCAAAGGAACATCTCTAGGGGGAGTCTTGCTTTGTAGCTTAACAAAAGATTTTGTCCATACAACTAAGGCGCGGGCTAATGTGCAGGCATGGGCAGAGAACGGACAAGAACGTAATGGGCTAGCTTTTCTCAAAATTCATCGCAATCTGGATGTAAACAGAGTTGCCAGATGTGGGGATTTCGCCCCATTTTGGGAATTTCTGAAACCATTTGGGGATAGATTTCGTTTGGGCATGTGGGGATTTGATGGGGATTTTTGTTTGGTTTAAAATATTCATATTGAAATTAAAATACATATATTTTACTGCCTGTCCTTAAAAATTTCTCAAACAAAGACTTTCTTTGTCAAAGTATTATTCGTGGAAAATGCCTGTTTCAATGGCTTTCGCTGAACACACAATTTTCTCTCACTTCATTACACCAAATTGTAAAAAGATCGCTGTGATTGGCATTTACCGAATGGACTGCATATATTTCTGATTTCCTTAGTGAAAAAGAATTTTACAAAGTGGCCAGCGCACAAAACAAAATTGACGAGCTTACAGACAGCAATGGGAATAGGAACCTTGGGCCGAAGGTATGTTGTTAAATAGTCTCCAAAAACCACAAAAAATAAGAAACCGCTATACGTAAATAACCAAATGATCTCATATATATGTACACATATATAACTGTGAAAATTTGTAATATAAAAGTATTCAAAACTGCAATTAAAACGAATTAACAGAAATGAGAATACATATTTTTTATTTCTTACTTAAGGGAATCCCCTTAAAAATGGAGATAAATGGAGATTTAGAAGAAAAATGGGGATTTTTTGGGGATAACTGCGGCTCGAAATGGGGATGCGCTATACAAAAATTCTGGCAACACTGGATGTAAATGTTCACTCAGTATTAAACGAATTGCATGTGACTTTCCTTTGTGTTTTACTAAATTATATCCACAATTAAATACAATATGCGGAGTATGTACTTTAAGTAAAAAAATTATATTCTTGGTTATTACCAGGAAACGGATTTTGTGGAAATTGCCTTTTTTCTGCTAAAGAGGTAGAGTATATTCGATTAAGAATGTGCACGATTTAGCTTTCCTAGATTCCATATTGCATTGTTTTGCCTTTTTTAAGATATTCGCCTTTTTTTGCCTATTGTACCTTTAAAAAGGTGATTATAGCGAGGAGGAAGCCCTTATTCCTGATAATATGAAAGATTCAAACGTTCCATATTTTAATTGGGCACCACTTGTATTAACTCACGTCGAGCGCACGTTCAGTCTATTCAAAGCTGTGTTAAAGCCTGTTGTGTTATAAAAAAATTAAGTTGATAATGAAGAAAAACGATGGATAAATAAAGAAGTAATAAGTGGTTATATGAAAATGCACAAAGAATTTTTATATGAACAAGTAATTTTTAGCAAAAAAAACCGACTTCAACTCTCATATAAAAAAAAATATATATATATACATATATATATCTCATGATCCACTGATCGGATCTTAACCAGATTAGTATGGGACCACCTCTGAGACACTACCTTTCCGATGCAAAAAGAATTATCGAAATCGGTTGACGTGGTCCAAAGTTATGCGGTAACATACATACAAAAAAAAAATATATATAAAAAAATAAAAAAATATGCCGACGAACTGATAACCTCCTCCTTTTTTGGAAGGTTATTTTGCATCAGAAAGGTAGTGTCTCAGAGGTGGTCCCATACTAATCTGGTTAAGATCCGATCAGTGGATCATGAGATATATATATATATATNTTTTTTTTGCTAAAAATTACTTGTATTTTGCCTTTTTTTAGTAGGTTTTTAGGTCCTAAAAATCCGTTCCCTGGTTACTACGAAAAAAAGGACGAAACTCGATCGACATTCTTTCACTGAATGAAATGTTTTTTGCAATTCGCAAAACGATGTTCTTGTAATTGGTATTGACGATGTTGTCGTTTGGTTCAGTAACTTAAATTTATTGAGCACCTCTGGTCTATACAACTCGAGACTGACTCTCTGTGAATGCCGATCCAGGCCTGTCGGTTCGTCCTTGAGTTCATATAGATGCCTTCTGATGTGCCTTGGCGAGCAGTCTTCCGCAAGCAGATGTCTGTTCGGGTGCCCACGTCGTTGATACCCTACTAGGAATTTCTTGCAGAGCATTGTGTTATGCTCCTTAATTGGGAGCCGGTTCTACGTACCGGAATGAATAGGGTTTTACCCGATCAAGGGCGGTTGTTTCATCGAA